CACAGAGAAGACAGCCACGTGGAGATGATGGCTGTGTCGGGGCCACAAGCCAAGGACACCCGGAGCCCCCAGGAGCTGGGAGAGGCAGGTAGCACCCTCCCCTGCAGCAGCCCTGCCCACCCGCGTGCATCTCAGACTTCCGGCCTCCAGGACTGCCAGTTTGTGGTCATTTGCCACGAGGGACAGCTCATCCAGTGTCGTCGTCTCAGTCCAGGATCCCGAGCTCAGCCGCCTGCAGTAGTCAGGTCCCAGGCGGGTGCTGCTGGGTCACAGGCTGGGGTGGGGTGGGGAGGCCCTGGGCCAGCGAGGAGCCTGTGGCCTGCAGATAAGCTTCCTCGCCCGCGTGCTCCGCCCTGCAGGCCTGGCCTATCTGACCTGGGCCAGCTGGAGCCACCCCAGGCCCCTGCGGAGGGGCGGGGCCCCCTCCGACCCCCTCCCCCCAGACTCCCCGCTTCTGAATCAAGGTCTCCCTTGAGGATGTCAAAGAACAACAGAAACTCAAAGAACAAAAGCTGCAGCTCCTTTGAAGCCAGGGCACTGCGGTGGGACGTGGTGAGGGAGCTCGCCCCGCCCTGCAGGAAGCCACACAAAGGGCGGCAGTGCGCAGCAGGCAGAGGCGGAACCCGCTCCAATGTCCCTGCAGGGTGAGGGACAAGCACAATGGCCCCTCTCTATGGTGGGGCTCAGGACGCTGCACCCCACGATAGGACCAGAATGTGCCCCCCCCCAAAATGTACTGCTTGGCATATTTCAGGCTGGTTATTCTGACAAACTGCGGACACAGGACTAGGTCCGAAAAGCTGCCCTTTTGGAAAAGAAATGCACATCTATAAAGTAAATCTACATTAGCAAAACATCTGCACCAGCAAGACGGCTGCCCCAGTTGTTCTTTCCTGGGAGACTTTTTCCCCCTTTCTCCCTTCCTCCCTCCCTTCCTTCATTCTTTCTTTCCTTTCCGAGGGGGTCTTGCTCTGTCGCCCAGACTGGAGTGCAGTGGCATCATCACAGCTCAGTACAGCCTCTAACTCCTGGGCTCAAGCAATCCTCCTGCCTCAGCCTCTCGAGTAGCTGGGATTATACAGGCCATGCCCAGCTAATTTTTCTATTTTTAATAGAGATAGGGTGTCAGTATGTTGCTCAGGCTGGTCTTGAACTGCTGACCTTAAGCAATCCTCCGCTTCAGCCTCCCAAAGTGCTGGGATTACAGGCATGAGCCACCTGACCTAGCCATAAAATTTTTAAATTATTTTTAGAGATGGGGTCTTGCTATGTTGCCCAGGCTGTTCTCAAACTCCTGGCCTCAAGTGATCCTCCCACCTTGGCCTCCCAAATCCCTGGGATTACAGGTATGAGACACTGCGATCAGCCTCTTTTTGTAATTGACACACAATAATTGTCCATATTCACAGGCCACGTGGTGATGTTTCGATACACATAAAGTAAAGTGACCGTATCAGGGTGATTGGCACAACTGTCATCTTACACAGTTATCATTTCTTTGTGTTGGGAACATTCAATATCCTCTTTGTAGCTATTTGGAAATAAATATTATTATATACTAACTATAGTCATCCTACAGTGGAGGAACAATACAACTTATTCCTCCTGTCTAGCTGTAATCTCTTTTCTTCTTCTTTTCTCACTTTAAATCAAAAGCTGAGGTCGGGTGCGGTGGCTCACGCCTGTAATCCTAGCACTCTGGGAGGCCGAGGCAGGCAGATTGCTCGAGGTCAGGAGTTTGAAACCAGCCTGAGCAAGAGCGAGACGCTGTCTCTACTATAAATAGAAAGAAAATAATTGGCCAACTAATATATATAGAAAAAATTAGCCGGGCATGGTGGCGCATGCCTGTAGTCCCAGCTACTCGGGAGGCTGAGGCAGGAGGATCGCTTGAGCCCAGGAGTGTGAGGTTGCTGTGAGCTAGGCTGACGCCACGGCACTCACTCTACCCTGGGCAACAAAGCGAGACTCTGTCTCAAAAAAAAAGAAAAAGAAAATGCAGACACTGAAATGTTGGGGAACAATGGGGGGTCGGTGCCTGTGGGCCGCTCTCTCGTCCTCTGCCCGCGGAGTGGACTTGGGAAATGTCGGTCACCTCTGAGGGCCCAGCTCAGGCCCTTGTAAGAGCCTCAAGCCTTCAGAAACAAGCAGAATGACCTCCCACCGCAGGGTCTCCCCCGGCCACTGTGGACATTTGGGGCCGGCCGTTCTCTGCGGAGGGGCTGTCCTGGGCACTGCGGGTGCTGAGCAGCGTCCCCACCTCCACCCACCCCGACCAGGAGCACCCGCACTGGTGACAGCCACAGAGGTTCCCAGACATTGCACGGTGTCCCCTGGGGGCAGAACTGGCTCCCTCGGGCAAGCCCCCTGGTCTGCAGGAGAGGGGACATGCGGTGGGCACCTGTGTGGGGGGCTTCGAGCGTGCACCCGTCCTGTCTCTTGACTTGATGCTGGCGACAGGGTGAGCGCTGCCTGTGAAAAGTGGTCAGGCCATTCCCGGGTGACCTGGGAATGTTCTGTCTGTAGCTGATGTCCCCATAAAAAGTTAAAGATTAAAAAGGCACCTGCCCCTCCCAAAAACCTATCACCCCCATCCAGTCATGAGAAAAACGTCAGCCAGAGCCCAATTGAGGGGTGTCCGACAATAAATCCTGACTATGGCCGGGCGCGGTGGCTCACGCCTGCAATCCCAGCACCTGCGGAGGCTAAGGAGGGAGGATCGCTTCCTAGGGTGAGGCAGGAATATTCTTCCCCTTGGGTGACCTTTCGTCCCTTCAACATCTTTGTTGTGTGCAATAATAACTGTGCAAAAAACAGACTTTGGACGAAATGGTGGCGGGGCTTCAAGGAGCCTCCTGGGTTGACTGTCACGCTGGGGACCTCGGCAGGGCTTGGGTTACACACGTGTCTGCACTTGTTGGAACACAGCAAGGAACAAGCTTCAATTTGTGCATTTCGCTGTGTGTCCAAAAGAGAGACAGAAAGAATGGGAATGCTAAACAAATCGAAAGCCACCTAATCCCAGCACTTTGGGAAGCTAAGGGGGAGGATTGTTTGCGGCCAGGGGTTCAAGACCAGCCTGGGCAACATAGTGAGAATCTGTCAAAAAAAATTAAAAACAGGCCGGGCGTGGTGGCTCACGCCTGTAATCCTAGCACTCTGGGAGACCGAGGCGGGCAGATTGCTCGAAGTCAGGAGTTCGAAACCAGCCTGAGCAAGAGTGAGACCCCATCTCTACTATAAATAGAAATTAATTGGCCAACTAATATATATAGAAAAAATTAGCCAGGCATGGTGGCGCATGCCTGTAGTCCCAGCTACTTGGGAGGCTGAGGCAGGAGGATCGCTTGAGCCCAGGAGTTTGAGGTTGCTGTGAGCTAGGCTGACGCCACGGCACTCACTCTAGCCTGGGCAACAAAGTGAGACTCTGTCTCAAAAAAAAAAACAAAAAACAAAAAATGAAAAACATAGAGGTACCATGCAACCCAGCAACTCCACTCCCAGGTGTGCAGCCGAGGGGAGGGAAACGCACGTCCACACAGAAACACGCACTGGAACGTTCACAGCAGCACAACTCACAATAGACACAACCCGCAAACAGCCGGCGTCCATCACAGATGGATGGATAGACACACCCAGGACGGTCCATCCACACGTGGGTATCACTCAGCCGTGAAAAGGGACGAGGCTCTGACACAGGCCACAGTGTGGATGGACCTTGAGGACATCGTGCTCACTGAGAGACGCCAGACACAGAAGGGCACACAGTGTGAGACTCCGTTTATATGAAATGTCCAGAACAGGCAGATCCACAGAGACGGGACATGGACTCGTGGTCCCCAGGGGCTGGGGAGGGATGAGGGGTGACTTCCAAAAGGAATGGGGTTTCTTCCCAGGGTAATAAAATGTTCTAAAATTGACTGTGGTGATGGTTGCACAGCTCTGTGAAAGTACTAAAGCCCAGTGAACTGCACATTTTAATTTATTTATTTACTTTGGAGACAGGGCCTTACTCTGTCACCCAGGCTGGAGTGCAGTGGGATCATCACAGCTCACTGCAACCTCCAACTCCTGGGCTCAAGCAATCCTCCTGCCTCAGCTTCCTGAGTAGCTGGGACTACAGGCATGCGCCACTTCGCCTGGCTAATTTTTCTATTTTTAGTAGAGATGGGTCTCGCTCGTGCTCAGGCTGGTCTTGAACTCCTGGCCTCAAGTGATCCTCCTTGGACTCCCAGAATGCTAGGATCACAGGTGTGAGCCACCACACCGGCCAATTTTTCTTCCAGAACTACTTGGGAGTGAGCTGGGATTACAGGCATGTGCCACCACCACACCTGGCTGATTTTTCTATTTTTTATAGAGATGGGGTCTCCCTAAATTGCTTAAGCTGGTCTCCAACTCCTGGCCTCAAGTGATCCTCCCGCCTCGGCCTCCCAAAGTGCTGGGATTACAGGTGTGAGCCACTGCACCTGGCCTATTTATTCACTTATTTTATTTCAGCATATTATGGGGGTACAAATATTAAGGTTACGTATACTGCCCATGCCCCTCCCCCGATTTATTTACTTTTGAGACAGGGTTTCACTCTGTCACCCAAGCTGGAGTGCAGTGGCGCCATCACAGCTCACTGCAGACTCCAACTCCTGGCCTCAAGGATCTTCTTGCCTCAGCCTCCCAAGTCTGAACTGCACACATTAAACGGGTGAATTGCACGGAGTGTGAGTCGTATCTCAGTAAAGGTGTTACTGAAAAAGAAGATTCTGGGACGCATGTTCAGTGTCTCCCCCTGGCCGGTGTGCGGTGGAACACACTGGTGCTCGCTCAGTGGGGAGATGCCCCGCACGCCCCCTGGCGGCCGCCAATGTCACCCCCGCTGACACCCAGCTCCCCTGGCCCTGGGGCCCCTGCTGGGAGAAGTATTGGGAGGTGCAACCTCTATTTTATAAGGGGGGAAACTGAGGCCAGCATGGGCAGAGACAGGGTCAGAGTCCACCAGCTCAGAGGGTTTCTCCATCAGGATTTATTGGTCCTTCAAGACATGCCCAGTCCCCTCCTGCTCCCTCCCCTGACCCTCCCTGGAACCCTGAGGGTAGGTCCTGCCCAGCTGTGTGTGGGGCAGGTCGCAGGCACCCAGGGGCGCATCAGGCTGGAGGGGGAGACTGTCAGTGGCGGATGACCTTCTTGATCCAGGACACGTAGGGCGCCACAGTGGTGGCCACGGTGGGCTTGAAGACATTAGTGCAGACCTTAGAGCTGAAGGACAGGATTCCAGCCACCCAGCCTTTGCTGCACACGAGGGGCCCGCCGGAGTCCCCCTGCAGGGCAACCTGCAGGTCAGCCTCTGTGCCCACGGGAGGGGCAGCCCCCAGCCCAGCCTGTCGCCCCTGAGGCTCAGGGCCCCTCCCTGCCACGCCCCCATCCCCCCACCTTCCTTCCTGCTCTTCTAACACTCTCTGCTCCTCCTCACCACCCCAGGGCCTTTGCACAGGCCCTACTCTATGCCACGTCATCTTTGCTAGAGTTTGAACCACAGCGCTGCCACTTCCTGTGTGGCCTCAGGCAAGGTGCTTAACCTCTTTGTACCTCAGTTGCTTTTCCTGAGAAATGGGGCTAATGCTATAGTACCATCCTCCGGGACTCCCCTCCCTGGCTGTGGGCTGTTGCAGGTAGACAGCCGGGCCCTCCCGCCAGGCCTTGTCCCTCCCTGTCCCCCTTGCCCCTTCACCTTGCAGGGGGCTTGGTTCCTGTCTGCAGCCAGGCAGACCACGTAGCGGGGGAGGCCGCCATGCCAGAAGTGACTGCTGTTGCACATCTGGGAGTCTAGAACTCGGACGTCCAGCTCCTGCAGTGCCCGGGCCAGCTGCCCACCCTGGTGGGTCACCCCCCAGCCGGCCACGCTGCACCGAGCTCCTGCTGCCACCACCTGGCGACTTCTGGGCAAGCGCAGGGGCTGGATGGTCTTGCTGGGCTTCACCTTCCCGTCCAGCTACAGGGCACAGGGAGGGCCGGGAGGGGCCGGTGAAGGGGGGCTGGGAGGGGCGACGAGGGACGGGGAGGGGCAGTAGGGAGCGGGGCTCTTGGTCCCCTCATCCGTCCCCCCAGCACCTGAAGCAGCGCGAGGTCGTTCTCCAGGGCTGGCGCAGGCCTGTAGTCGGGGTGCTGCACGGCCATCCGGACGTGGAAGGCGAGGCGGGGGTGGCCCAGCGTGTGCAGCCCCAGCACCAGCCGCAGCCTCAGCAGCTCCGCACTGCGGGCAGCGGGGCGTCAGGCACGGTCTGTCCTTCCCTGTGTCTCCCCACCCCCAGCCCTCCCTGCTCTCATGCCCCCACCCCAGGCTCCCGCCCCAGGCCTGTGTCTGCACACGCCGACCCCCAGGCCGGGACCAGCGATTCCCTCAACCACCTGTGCAGAGGTCGGAACGCGCCAGCCTTCCTAACTTTGCCCACACGACAGAGAACCAAGCCCTTTCACGCAGGCCTGAGGGGACCACCCTTGCCACCACGCGGGAGCCCTCCTGATGATGGAAGAATGGGGCCAACAGGAAGGTGGCACAGCCGGGAGACAGGAGGGCTCCTGGGTGCGTCACGTGGGCACCTGGATGGAGCCGCACCTGAAGCCAGGTGCCTTCAGTTACATGAGCCAAGAGGTGCCCTCAGTTACTTCAACCAGTCTGCTCTGGGGTCTCCACTGCTGCCAGTCCAGAGGTAGGGCAGCTCCAGGATGACCTTATCAGTGGCTTCTCGAAGGGGCCAGGTTCGGGTTGGCTGCTACCCGGGGAGGCCAGCTGTCTCCTCATAGCCACAGGTGGCAAACGCATCCCTAAATGTCACAGTGGACCCACTTGGTCCCCTTAGAAGGAGCCAGCCCTTCCTGCGCCTCTTGCAGAAGGTAAACCTTCCCCAGGGATCCCCGCGGTTATTGGTGAGGGGCAAAGGGCCCCCATGGCTGGTGCAAATCCTGCAGAACCCACCCCCTGGTGAGAGTGAGAACCACGTTATGGGTTCTCGGGACTCCTGGGGTGACGGAGGGCAGGGTGACTCACCTCCTGTTCAGGCAGTGGGCAGCTGTCAACACCCACTGTGGGTGCACGAGGACCCCCCCGCACTTGTGGGAGCCGTTTTCCTGCAGTGAGGCCATGTATGGGCGGGAGTGGGGGGCGGCCTCCTTACCCCCGATGATCTGGGCCCCAAATGTGCTGCCTACTGGGGAGGGGGACAGAGAGGCCGGTTAGGGCTGGGTGTCCCCCACCCCCACCATAGTCTTCCTTCCGCAGCTCAGAGGCCCTGGACCCCCGCTTGCCATCCTAAGGAAGTCTCCAGTGTTCCTTGAAACTTTAAGGTTGGCATGTGGGGGTCTCCCTGGATCCCTCGGGGTCCCAGCAAATGACCCTCCCTCCTGTCTCCCCCACTCCCACCTTAGGCCCCACCGGGCACCACAGCCCAGACTCTACTCAGCAGCCAGGGGAGTTGAGAGTGAGACTCTGTCTCAAAAAAAAAAAAAGAAAAAAGAAAGAAAGAAATTAATTGGTCAACTAAAAAAAATATATATATATAAAAAGAAGCCGGGCATGGTGGCTCACGCCTGTAATCCTAGCACTTTGGGAGGCTGAGGCGGGCGGATTGCTCAAAGTCAGGAGTTCGAAACCAGCCTGAGCAAGACCCCGTCTCTACCAAAAATAGAAATAAATTAATTGACCAACTAAAATATATATATACAAAAAATTAGCCAGGCATGGTGGTGCATGCCTGTAGTCCCAGCTACTCGGGAGGCTGAGGCAGTAGGATCGCTGAGCCCCGGAGATTGAGGTTGCTGTGAGCTTGGCTGACTCCACGGCACTCACTCTAACCCGGGCAATAAAGTGAGACTCCGTCTCAAAAAAAAAAAAAAAGAAATGGGTACAAGGGGCACAGCCACTGCTGGGGGTCCTCAAATTTTAAACGTAGTCCACAGTCACCGTATGATGCAGGAATTCCACTCTGGTACACACCCAAGAGTAATGAAAACATATCTCCACACGGAAGCTCACATACCAACGTCCAGCGGCATCACTCATGATAATGGGCAAAGGGTGTAAAAAACCCAACGTCCATCCACACGAGTGGATAAACAAAGTGTGGTCCACCCACACGATGGAACATCATTCAGCCATGAAAAGGGACGAGGCTCTGACACAGGCCACAGCGTGGAGGGACCTTGAGGACGTCGTGCTCAGTGAGAGACGCCAGACACAGAAGGACACACAGTGTGAGACTCCGTTTATATGAAATGTCCAGAACACGTAGATCCACAGAGATGTAATGTGGATTTGTGGGTGTCAGGGGCTGGGGGAGGGGATGGGGAGTGATTGCTGATGGGGATGAGGCTTCCTTTTGGGTGGTGAGAATGTTCTGGAACACGGGCCAGGCGAGATGGCTCATGCCTGTAATCCCAGCACTCTGGGAGGCCGAGGTGGGAAGATCACTTGAGGTCAGGAGTTTGAGACCAGCCTGACCAAGAGCAAGACCTTGTCTCTACTAAAGATAGAAAAGAATTAGCAGGGTGTGGTGGTGCCCGTAGTCCCAGCTACAAGGGTGGGGTGGGTGGGTGGGGGCTGAGGCAGGAGGATCGCTTGAGCCCAGGAGTTTGAGGTTGCTGTGAGCTAGGCTGACACCTGGCACTCAGGGCAACAGAGTGAGACTGTCTCAAGAAAAAAAAAAATCCAGACTCCTCACAACCTTCAAGATGCACATGGCCTGGTGGCCTCCTTCCCTCTCCTCACTCCGCCGCAGGGCCTTCGCATGTGCTATGGGCTGCTACAGCGCCCTTCCACCACACATTCCTGGGCCTGACTTCCTAGTTAGAATCTGCTCAGCCACCTCTGGCAGCCTCTGCTTCTCCTCTGCTCCGTTTTCTCCCCAGCACTGCCCCCACCCTGTCCCCCCAGGCGGCATCACACAGTTTGCCCTGCTGGCTCTCCACACAGTCCACCCGCAGCACCAGAGCCAGCCCAGGCCTGTCGCGTTCAGAAAGGGCCTAGAGCACCGTGGGCTCAGCAAACTCGGGCGGTGGGCGGGAGGATGAGGGCCATGGCTGGGCCCCTACATGTGCCCATCTTCTCAGGTCCCCGATCCTCGGGAGCCACTCTCACCCGGCGCACCCAGAATCCCGGACATCCCCATCCCAGCGCTGCCACTCCCAGCCCATCCTGCTGGGAGGACAGACGAGCAAGCAGGCGGACAGCCCAGGTGAGCAGCTTGCGTCTTCCCCACATCCTGGGGATGCTGGCATCTGTGAACCCCCCCAGGGCTCTCGGCCTCAGTTTCCCCCATGCCCCTGCTCCCACTCACCTGCGCACAGGGTCCCGAGGGCCAGCGCTAGCAGCGTGCACTGGCGGGCCGCCATCTTGCCTCGGGCGCAAGGCGCAGGGTGGCCACCGAGGCCGACCCCACCGGTGCTTCCTGTGGGGGAGGCAGCTTGAGGCTCCGCCCACGGCTTTCTCACCCACACACATTTTCAAAAGTGGTTCTGAAAGATAAAACCACATTACCATGATCACACCTGAAAATGTAACAAAATTATCACCTAATATACAGCGTTCAAATCCTCGTATCATATATGTTTTGTGTGGTTTCAATGTAATTGTTTTTGGCCTCTTTTTCTTATTGTGACAAAATACAGATAAAAGTCACTGTCTTAAACATTTTTAAGTGCACAGCTCAGCCGCACTGAGTACATGCACGTGGTTGTGAAACCATCACCACCCTCCGTCTCTGGAACTTTCTCATCTTTCTAAACTATCACTCTGTCCCCATAAAACACTCACTCCCCAGCCCCTGGCACCCACGATCCTACTTCCTGTCTCTGTGGATCTGACGACTCCAGGGACCTGTGAGTGGTGTCACACATGACGTGCCCTTCTGTGTCTGGCGTCTCTCAGTGAGCACGATGTCCTCAAGGTCCATCCACGCTGAGGCCTGTGTCAGAGCCTCGTCCCTTTTCATGGCTGAGTGATAATCCAGGGATGGACCACGTTTGTCCATTCTCCAGCGGATGGGTGATCGGCTGTTTCCAGCGTTTGGTTATCGTGAGTGAAGATGCCATGGGCACTTGGCGGTCTCAGCAGGCTCCATGCAAGGAGTGTGATCGGCTGGTGATGTCTGCCCTGGGCAGGTGTCCACAAGCTCTGGGGTGCCCTCCCTGGGCCCCACCCCCTCCGCATGCCACATGACCTAGACCAGCCAATGAGAGTGCCCCACCCCCCAGCTCAGGGTTGGGGTGGAAGAGGACTTGACTTGAGCTGGCTCCGTGAAAACCAGGGCTCAGATTTCCCAAACTTTTCTAAAGAAGCCTCACGGTCCACTGGACTTGGAGCCAGGAGGTCGGTCTGGGGGCGCTCCCAGGGAGAGAGAAGCCCGCCTGAGAATGAGGCCCGCACAGAAAGTGGAGTTGGCGGGTATATTAGCTTCCTCTGGGTGCTATAGCAAAGTATCACATACATGGTGACCTAACCTTACTCTATCATAGTCCTGGAGGTCGGAGGTTGGGGGCCGGCCTCACTGGGCTAAAACCAAGGTGTGGCAGGCCTGGTCCCTCCTGGGGCTCCATGGGAGAACTGTCTCCCGCCTTTCCCAGCATCTAGTGGCCACCCGTGTCCCCTTTCAGAGCCAGCAGCGCAGCATCTTCCAGTCTCTCTGTCTCCAACTCTCCTGCCTCCCCACGGAGGGACCCTGTGCTGACACTGGGCCCCCAGGTCATCCAGGGTCCTCTCATCTCATAGGTCCTCAACTCAACCCCTTCTGCCAATAAGGTAACCTGTTCACACATTCCCGAGAGTAGGCTCTGCATCTCTGAGGGAGCTGTAATCTTGTTGACCACAGGTGTGGGGAGATCGAGTCTGGGCAGAGCCAGTGCTTGGATCCAGCTATGCCTGAAACCCCTCCCTGGCCTTGCCAGTCACGGAAGCCAGTAAAATTCCAATTTGCTCGTGCTGGTTTGCAGTGGGCCCTGTCGCTTGCAGTGGGGAGAGTCCAACGTAGATTGCATACATTACAGAATGTTGGAGAAACTGATCACAAAAGGCGCTGAACTCACCCACTGCGTGCTGGGGGCTCTGGAGAAAGCCCCACCCGTTCACGGGACAGCTCCTGTCCTGCAGTCACACATGAAGTTTATCCAGAGGGTGAGGCCAGGGCTGAGCTTAAGCGACACGAATTCTACAGCGTGTGTTTGTGATCTATCTCCTTCAATCCTAACCACCCCAGCAGGCAGTTCCATCAGTATCGGGGCGGCCACATTTAGCAACTGAAAAAAGGGTGCCCAGTTAGATCTGAATTTCAGATGGACAGGTTTGTTTACTATGGGTCCCAAATATGGCACAGGATACACGCAGAGTAAAAGTCATTTGTTGTCCATCTGAAATTCAACTTAGTGGCCAACTGTAGTCATGACCTGCCCTTTGCAGCTTGAGACAGTGACATTCAGAGTCGAGGCCACTTGCCCATGGCTAGCAAGTCACAGGGGTCCCGCCTAGCTCCGGATTGGGGAGTCAGCTGTGTCCCAAAGGTCCTTTGGGAGTCATGTGGGGCATAGTCTGAGGGGAAGAGGAGGCCAGAGTGGAGGTTTTTACGTGCTGGCCACCAGGGCGCCACTTGAGAAGTGGGGCCTGCATCCCCTCCCCTCAAATCTGGGTAGAAACCATGTGGCCTGAGGCTGGTCAGAAAGGGCCCAGCTCCTGGCCCCTCAGCTTGGAGCCTGACCAGCAGCCATGCGGAACCCAGCCCAGGAGCCCAGCACCTCCTGTGACTTTAGCATCCCAGGGTCTAGGTCACCCCAGCGGAGGAGACAAGCCCCAAGCGGCTGACTAGCTCCCAACCTGCAGGAGCCACTAGACAGGTGTGGGAACAGGGAGAGGCCCCGGGAGAGTGGGCGGGGAAACTTGTGCAAAGGGCCAGACACTGTCGCAGTGGCTCGGTTCTGCCCTTGGGACAGCATGTGAAGCAATGGTGTAGCTGTGCCGACAAACTTCACATATGACACGGGCACCCTGCATCTCGCTGTCTGCTGGGTCGCTGCTGTGGCGACCAAGGGAGCTGGCACCTGCTGAGCACTTGGAGAGGCCCCCAGATGCCGAGGGCTGGGACGGCGTCAAGCGCCTTAGAGTGACAGAGAGGCGGCGGAGGGCACGTGGCCATACAGGCGAGACTGGCCGGGCCAGGGCCCTCCGCGTGTAGGAAAAGCCAGCAAGGCTTTTCCTGGTGCTCCGGTGCAGCAGGACCTGGGAGGAGGGCACGCGGCTCTCTTGGCACTGCCTGCCCCACCCGGGCACTCACGTCTGGACCCCACCCCACCCCCACCTCCACCCAAACGCAGCCCAAGGTCTTGTGGCTGCAGTGATGGCCAGGCCCTGGCGCACGATGACCCGTGGGCAACTGGAGGCCTCCAGGCTGACACGTGTGGAGTGCCTTGGACGCCCGGAGGCAGGAGAGCCAGATCCTGGGGGAACCTGGTTCTGATGGCACCAGGATCAGAAGTCCAGTCATTCCTGGACTTTCCAGTTGCACAAAACAAGGCCACAGGCCGTGTGTACCCAGGGCTACGGTGAACCCAGCCTGGATGGGCATGCAGCCGAGGCCGGGGGTCATTTCCGCCCCGCGGACCTCGGGCCACCAGAACCAGTCCACGGCTGCAGTTCATTCAACACACGCAACAAACCAGCCGCCTCCTGCTCAGACCTCGCAGATCTGAAGATGTGGCTCCTTCTTGGAACGCACTGGCGACCCTGCCCCGAGGCTGGGCGCCAGCAGCGCTTGGTCACAGGTGGACCTCCTGGCTGCCTCTCCCTCCCAAGGAGAGGTTCTCTGTCTTCTCATAAAGTAGTTTTATTTAGATTTCAAACAAACCAAAGCAGAGAGAAGAGGCGGCCACAGCTATTCCGTCCACTCGTGAGCTGGGAAACACACCAAGTCTCTGGCTCCAGGCCACGGAGCTGCCCGGCCCCCAGTGGCGGCGGGAGCTGGCGCCCACACGTTCCCATCTGTGGCTCCACGTGGCTCCTCTGGGCTGTGGCCAGTCCCTGAAGTCAGGGCGTCCAAGCAGCAGTCAGGGCCACGCTGCCCTCCCGAGGGGAGACGGCGGCCACAGCCGGCCCAGGGTCCCCGAGCAAGGTGGGCAGCGGGCGGCCCCTCTTCTCTGAAGCGGAGGAAAACCCAGAACAAATACAGGGAAGGAAAAAAGACCTAAACTGAAACAACCAGAGGGGTGGGAACCAACACAACACCTCCCGTGAGGTAGAGTCTGCCACCTAAGAAGCCCATTCGGTCCAGTCCCAGTGAGGTAAAACTCTGTACGTTTATTGCGGCGGGGTGCGCGCTGTCAGGACCCCTCATTGCCAGAGTCGTCCTCGTCGTCCCCGAAGCAGCTGTCCGCCTCCTCCCCGTCGCCGTCCTCATAGTAGTCGTCGTAGAAGAGGTCTGAGCCCTCGTCGGGCGCGGGCGCCTTGGTCTTCACGCAGTACTCGGCCAGCGTGGTGGGCACCTTCACACCGTCACGCTCCGCGTCCACCTTGGTCCCCAGGACCTGCTTCCTGGGGGGACAGGGCAAGTGAGGGCTCCACTCACACCCAGCCCAGCCTGCCTGGAGTGCGCTCCTTCCTGACGCGCCGGGCCCTCTTTACAGGGCAGGGTAACTCCCTGCCACGGTGGGGACCCGGGAGGACGTGGCAGGCGGGGACACGGAGATGTGGGGCTGTGGGGGGAGACCGAGCCACACCCGCCCCACCCCGCCCACAGGAGCAGGGAAGGCAGCTCAGGGCCTGCGAGGGCAGAGAAGGCCAAGGGCAAGGCGGGAAGCCGCCGAACGCTCATTAGGATTTTAAGATCAAGCTGGGCCGTCAGTGCCTCTGGAAGGAAGGGAGGCCAAGTCAGCACAAGCGTCCAGAGGGCACCATGCCCTGAAGGCCCTAAAGAGGGCCTGTCCCCAACTCCACCTCCAGGATGCGTCACCAACACCCTGATGCCAGCACAGCAGGGTGAGGCTGCCAGGCTGTGCACACCAGGGACACGTGCACGCCAGGCCGAATCGCTGCCACCAGCTGTGTGCAATGCACCGGCCTGACAGAACGAGAACGAGGCCACAGCCTCAGGGATGGGGCTCAGGGCCCCGACCTGGCCAGGAGGTGTGGCCCTCGGGTGTGCACAGCCACTCGCCTGCACTGCAAGGCCCTAGGGTGGGGACGGACAGACGGACACCAACCCCAGCCCGGCAGCTTCTTGTTAGGAACCAAGTGGGGCTGCCCACGAGAGAGGCTGCCTCCAGCCTCTGGGGCATCCACACCAAGCACACGCACACAGGAGCCGGTTCCTCTGGGCTTGCCAGATGTCCGCCCCCAGCCGGGACGACCTCTGATCATGCCCGCAGCGCCCACCAACACCGGGCTCCTGACCCAGCCAGGCCCCGGCAGAAACGAACACGCACTCACAGACTCGAAACCATGCAGAAAGCAGGACCCCAGCCTTCCATGTGGGACATGTGAGCTGGCCCACAGGGAGTTTTGAGGGATAAAAATAGTCTGGCTCAAAATAGAAGTACCATATGACCCAGCAATGCCACTGCTGGGTATATGTCCAAAAGGAAGGAAATCAGTGCATCGAGAAGATAACCGCGTCCGAGTTCACTGCAGCCCTGTTCACAACAGCCAGGACTGGAGTCGAGCTACCCACGTGTCCACCGACGGGCGAGGACAGGAAAATGTGCAATATACACAATGGAATATCACACAGCTATAAACAAGAACGAGACCCTGCCATTTGCAATGTGATGCTAAGTGAAATTAGCCGGGCACAGAAAGACAAATCTCGCATGTTCTCACCCACATGTGGGAGCTAAGTATTAAAACCACTGATGTCATGGAGACAGAGTAGAATGATGGTTACCAGAGGGTGGGAAGGGCGGTGGGGAGGGGAAAAGGTGGGGATGGTGAACGGGTGCAAATCTATAGTTACAGTGAATGGTATTTGACAGCACAACAGAGTGGCAGTCAACAAGCCAGGGTATACCTCAAAATAGCTAAGAGAGGAATAGGAATGTTGCCCACACACAGAAACGACACACACTTGAGGTGATGGGTGCCCCAATGACCCTGCCCTGCTACACAGCCTAGGCCTGTATCAAAACGTCATAGGCACCCTATAAAAACAGCACTATTACTTACCTGTGATCATTTAAAAAAACAGTCTGGCTTTTACTTCTGCACTGGGACCTTGGGGGTGAGGGGACGCGGCCTGTGAGGGCGTCTGCTCAGCAAGGGTGAGGGGTCGGCAGGCGTGGGCACAGCACTGCCTGCGACTGCCTGGCACCGGGACGCTGCCCAGGACGACAAGAGGACGCTGGCAGAGCTGGTGAGGCGACTCCATCTGCTCATGGGTCCCCCCTCAGGGTCTGGGCAGGGGAAAGGCACACGGATTATGTGAACAACATTTCATTTTTTACTTATTTGAGACAGGGTCCTGCTCCGTTGTCGAGGCTGGAATGCCATGGAGTCATCATAGCTCACATTGCAGCCTCCAACTCCTGGGCTGAAAGGATCCTCCTGTGTCAGCCTCCCGAATAGCTGGGACTATAGGAGCTACCACACCTGGCTAATTTTTCTATTTTTAGTAGACACTGGGTCTTGCTCTTGGTCAGGTTGGTCTCGAACTCCTGACCTCAAGTGATCCTCCTGCTTTGGCCTCCCAGAGCGCTAGGATTACAGGCATGGGCCACCGTGTACAATATTTTAAAACCTGTTTTTAAAATTCTGCTTATACAAAATACCACAGGACAACCAACAAAGACAGGGGAGACCTAAATGAGGAAACTACGTGCATAATTTCACTGAGAGAAAGGGAAATTGAAACAAACAGCAAGGGATACTATGTAACAGGAAGAGCAGGAACTGTAGGTGTCAATCCTCCTAGACAAAGCCTGTGCCTTTGTCTCTGTGATCCAGGCACCAGCAGGGATTCACGTACAGGCTCATGCACACATGTAAAAACCACAAAAGTCCAGGATGACGAGCCGTGGGGCTCCGGGAAATGACGCCCACATAACAGGGAAAGGTGTGGGTGGGCACACACGCAGCCCCCAGGTAGAGCAGGAGCAGCCACCACGGGAGGCCCCAGTCCGTGGGGCCTAGTGAGCCCAGTGGCTGCGGCCGGTGTTGCCGGTGCTCTGCCCATGCAAGGGGCTGCTCAACGGATGGACTCACCAAATATAAACACCACAATGCCCCTGACTAGAAGGTCGGGCATGAGGAAGCATTTATGGCACACATCCACTTTTTTTTTTTTGAGACAGAGTCTCACTCTGTTGCCCAGCTAGAGTGCCGTGGCATCAGCCTAGCTCACAGCAACCTCAAACTCCTGGGCTCAAGCGATCCTCCTGCCTCAGCCTCCCAAGTAGCTGGGACTACAGGCACGTGCCACCATGCCCAGCTAATTTTTTCTATATATATTAGTTGGCCAATTAATTTGTTTCTATTTATAGTAGAGATGGGGTCTTGCTCTTGCTCAGGCTGGTTTCAAACTCCTGACCTTGAGCAATCTGCCCGCCTTGGGCTCCCAGAGTGCCAGGATTACAGGCGTGAGCCACCATACCCGGCCACACACCCACTTTTTGACAAATACATATACACATATAAACTGAAAAACGCCTGGAAAGTGATACCAAAACATCCACCACTAGGTATTAGGATTAAATAACTTTCATTTCTATTTGCACTTTTTTTTTTTTGAGACAGAGTCTCGCTTTGTTGCCCAGGCTAGAGTGAGTGCCCTGGCATCAGCCTAGCTCACAGCAACCTCAAATTCCTGGGCTCAAGCAATCCTCCTGCCTCAGCCTCCCGAGTAGCTGGGACTACAGGCATGCGCCACCATGCCCGGCTAATTTTTTCTATGTACATTAGTTGGCCAATTAATTTCTATTTTTATAGTAGAGATGGGGTCTCGCTCTTGCTCAGGCTGGTTTTGAACTCCTGACCTTGAGCAATCTGCCCGCCTCTGCCTCCCAGAGTACTAGGATTACAGGCATGAGCCACTGCACCCGGCCACTATTTGCACTTAAATAATTTTCTTTCTTTTTTTTTGAGACAGTCTCCCCGTCACCCAGGCTGGAGAGCAGCGGCGTCATCACAGCTCACTGCGGCCTCCAACTTGTGGGCTCAAACTATCTTCCTGCCTCAGCCTCCCAAAGTGCTGGGATCACAGGAGTGATCCACTGCACCTGGCCCTTAAGACAATTTTCTATCATGAACACGTTAATTTCTTGACAAAGTGTTGTCCT